GTAATGTTTTTTTTTGTAAGTTCATTGCTAAAAAGCCCCTTTCAGCCGCTGCAGTACTCCCAGATAAAGAAAACATCAATTCCACCATGCATAGTATGTTGCTGTACTTCGATATTAGAGGGTCACTTTAGAAGTGAGGCGCTAGACTCTTATAAGATAACAAAAATTGAACATGTATCACGAACATTAATGGGAAAATGCCCGTCCGCGCGGACGCTGGATTCGAGAAATTTGTTGTCCGCGGGGAATTTTTGACCGCCGATGACGGGCGGTTTTTCGAGCCCTGTTACATAGACTTTTTTATTCTTATAAAATTTAATGAAGTTTATTAGGCTTTTTATGATACGTAAAGTAGCTTTTGTAATTGGAAGTTGCAGAATTTTCTTTTTATTTCAGGATATAGAATTGTTTAATTTTAAATTTGCTCTTTTTTTTACCGTATTTTCTAAAAAGTACATTTTAAAAAATGGTTATTCTTTACATGTGTATAGCATCATACAACAATATGTATGTTTATAAGGAAAGTAAATAAAATTATTGTATAAATGAATTAAGTTATTTCAAAAACTTTATATTTTGTTGAGAATTAAAAGAAACTACTGATATTGAATTAGAAAAAGGCATTTTACTGGCCATAGATAGATAGAATTCCTGGTGTCATTCTTGATTTGGAAAAAAGTGAAAAGGATGCAGAGGACCCCTAAAGCTAATGAGGCACAGAATGATGGAGAGGGAGAGAGAAAGGAATGAGTCTGGGTGAACCAGTCGGCAAGAAGCTAGAGCAGCTTCAGCTGACAGGGGAGGCTGGCGAACAAGACTGAGGGCATTATGTACCATTGAGCATAAAAAGAGATGATAGTGATATTGAAAATATTTCAAAATCAAAAGCTTTTGAAGTTGTTAAAACACTTATAAAAATTTTAAATCTTAAAAATTGGAAAACTTTTGTTGTATATGTGCTTTTTTGATGTAAATTTTTTTTCTTCTATTTATTATTTATTTTCCATTTTTTTATTTTTTTTATTTTATAATTTTTAACATAAAACATTGAAAGTATTATTTACTGAACTATTGCCTGATTTTTTAAATTTTTTTTATAGATTATGCGAGATCCTGAGACTGGAAATTTAAAAGGTTATGCATTTATAAACTTTGCTAGTTTTGAAGCGTCTGATGCAGCCATTGAAGCCATGAATGGACAGTATTTGTGCAACAGGCCAATCACTATTTCTTATGCTTTTAAGAAAGAATCAAAGGGTGAAAGACATGGCTCTGCAGCTGGTAAATTTCTATCTTATTTTCTGATTGTTATACTTTTCCCTGAAATACTTATTGTGAACTTATACATTATGTAATTTAGGTAATTGAATGGTGGACTACAACCCCACTCTTCTTCAGATCCATGCATACCAGCTTATCTGGGAAGTAAAGGTGGCCAGTGCATAATACTGACCATATTGTCTCCATCATGCAGTAAGTTTCAAAATTGTGGAGCTTTAACATCCATGACCCTCTTGGCCAACAACTAGTAGTCGAGAGACTTTACTTTTTTTTTTTTTAATGATGGAAATCTGGAAATTTTCAGTTTTCCTCAAAATGCTTTACAAAGCTTAATAACATTTTAACATTGAGACTACCATATACTACTATTATTACAAAAGCTTAAAATTAAGAAATAGAAAACTGTTTATGAATTTTCAGCACACCCCAAAATGCCCTGGAAAGTTTCATCAAGCTCAAATATTTAGACTGTTATAAATAACACATATTAGACATATAGTATATTTTATTACAAAAGCTTGGAACTGAGGAAGTCAAAGTTTGATTATTCATAGCTTTTTTTTTTTTTTTTTTTTTTTTTTTTTATGAACCAGTAGAAATCCTTGAATTAAGAAAATTCATTATAAACCTATTTAGTTGCACTTATTCCAGTTGTGAAAAGGTAGTTCCACATAATTATCTGGTATAAATTTTGAAAAAAAATTTTTTTTTCTAGTAACAAAAAGATCTTAAAAGTCATTTAATAGATGTGAACACTACTGTTTTCATTTGAATTAAATTATAAAATGCATTTCAAAAGATATTTATCTTTCCAGAATTATCTTTTAATTAACAAATTCTGTTTGTATTTTGATTTCCAGAACGTCTGTTGGCTGCCCAGAGTCCCTTGTCGCATGCTGATCGTCCTCATCAACTGTTTGCTGATGCTCCATGATGCAATCTCCATATAGGGTATGCTTTCTTCAAGTAAACACAGGTTTTGTTACACCCAAGTGATCTTTTTTCCCTTTTGTCTTTGCATTAGACTCAGCTTGCAATACTGATTTTGCTAAAGATGTACCACAGTTTGTTTTTAGTGCAGTATATCTGCTTCCTCTCTGGTTTCACTCATCTCTGCAATCAACCAACAAGCCAAGCAAAAAATAAAATTTCAGAAATATAGAATCGAAAAATACTTACTTAAAAAAATTTTATAACTTAATTTATCATCTTTATATATGCTTTACACTGAGTTTCTTTTACAGGGCCACCACCTGCACCAAGAATGAGAATGCCTACAGTTCTGCTCCTTTAAACTGATTTTGTATCTATATTGACTTTTATAGGAAAAGACTTTAAATAAATATTTTGTTTACTTGTACATTGCATTTATTTATTTCATTCTTAAATGTTTACATCATCAAGAATAAGTGAAAAGAAAACATTAAAAACATAATTGATCAATAAAAATTTCTTAGTGTCTATTTAAGTTGTAAATACAATATGTCAATCAAAATAAGGGAATAATAATCATGAATAAAGGACTTTGCTGATAGTAATAGATAACTGTCAGCTAATCCTAAAATATTTAGAAATAATAGATCTATAATATTTCGAAATTATAAATCTGGAAAAGTTCAATCACTGAAACTTCTTTTTTGTGTGTGGAAGATCTGTGAAAATTTTTGGTTCAATAAATTTAAATACTGCTCGTGAGAGGATTTCAGTTTGATAGTGGCTTTTTTCAATGTTCTTTGTGAAAAAGCAAAATAACTAAGACTTATGACATTCAAAAATAAGAGCCACAAACTTAGCTCAGCAAATTTACCCTGAAAGTTAAAATTTTAATTTGAGAAAACTCTGGGCTATCTTTTTTATTTACCGTATTACTGAAAAACAAAACTTTTTTTTCAATACTTGAAAAAAATTAAATAAAACCATTTTTTTAACCAAAGATATTTTTAAAAAAAGACTTCAGCATCGAAAAATTTAGAGCTCAAAGTGCATTGTAATACGATTATTGTTTTTGCATATGAATGACTGACCTTCTGGAAATTAACATTATTTAAAATTTTTATTCTTAAACTTTCTGCTCAAAGTGTCCATTTCCAGCCAAGATTCAAGAAAAATCTCAAAACCCCTGCTTTAATTTATTTTCACGAACTAGGTAATGGTATAGCTGCTCTGTTTTTTTTTTCTTTTTTCCAAATTAGACTTTTAGAATAGTTAATTGGCTCTAAAAGAAGTAAACCATGGTATATATTAACATAAAGTGCTAGACAAATTTTCCTCTAGGAGCAATCATGGCTGGGAAGTGTTTTTACATATTAAATAAAAATCATTTATTAATAATTATCACAGTTGGTACAGATTCATAAATCAAATCCTTAATTAGTTATAAATTCATATTATTTTAATACCTTAAAAAATCTTTTTCTTTCATTCTTGCACCTATCTTTAAAGAGCATTTTATGAACCTGAAAGTCTGTAAAGACTTCTAGGTTCTTAAAATGTTCTGTTTTTAAGTGTCTTATAAGAGAATATTATCTGTTATTGTAAGAGTATTGATAATGACAATGTTAAAAAAGTTTTAATTTTTTCCTAATAATTTCATGTAAGGTAAGGGTGAAGTAAACTCTTAACTTTTATTTCCTTGAAAATATGTTGAGATTTTTGCTGCTTTCCTGGTTACTAAACTAATATTGAAATTTTTTTGCTGTTGCAGTTTTTAATTCATTATTTTTAATAGGAACAGTTACAATGACTTTTAAAGCATTAAAAAATATATCTTTTTTAATATAATTTAAATGTATTAAATAATTTTCTTCAAATTTCTACACTGCTAAAATTTTTATTTTATAGATTTAAAAATTTGCGTCACAGTGGCTTTTCCTAATTGTAAGCAAACTCATCAAACATTTTGAAAATGGAATAAAATTTAAAAAAATTATAGGAATGAACATTTTTGGCTAAATTAATTAGGTCGCAGTATATTTGAGACCTGTTTATCAAATTTTTTTTGGTGTTATAAATATTTGTGTTTGATATTGACTATATAGATATAATTTCATTTTTTCTCTAGTTCTTAAGGCTATTCGAAACATGGTTTCAAAGCTTTACTTTTAAGTCATTAAACATTGTTTGCCCGCAAACTGAGCGACAAAACAAAAACTTTAAGTAATTTTTTTTTTATTTCTTCTAGTTAAATATTAATGGTGAAAGTTTAGATTTTAATTTCATCGATGCTGCTATGTATTTGTTTTTAGATTATCCCTTTTTAAAACCAATCAAATCACACTAATCCAGGAAGATATCTGAGTTATTTGTTAAGTACTTATAAACAAAACTAATTAATGTATTAATAAGTTAAAATATTTTCCTGGAGAGATTTCGTTCTTCCAAGGATTTGCTGAAGAAGAAACAATTTAGAATCACAGATATGTAGCCTTATCAAACCTGACTTTACAACTGTGCTAATTGTATAGGCATTTAATATGCACTTAGCTCATTCTCAAAGTTGATAATGATAGCAGATCATACAAGAACTTGGTTTTTTTATAGATAGTTTAAAAAAAAATAAATAAGGTCCAGGAACAAATTTCTTGGGAAGAAGGTACGAGCACCCCTATTCAGTTCCAGTACACTCCTATTCATAAACTGTGTTACACCTTAAGAATAATATAAAATGTTTACAAAAACTTTATCTAGTAGTAATAAAAAAATTTTAATCTAAAAAATAAAAGAAGCGCGTACATTATTAATACACCAAAAGTTTTTAATTTCTCTTTCAACTATATTCTGAGATGAGTTAGTCTAAATACATAGTTAAGGGGATATGTAGAAAATATTTTTTTTTATAAAGGTAACATTAATGTCGAAGTTATTTAATTTTGTATTCATGGAATAATTTTCGATAAACTGAACTTATTTAATCAATTATCCCCTGAAAGACATAGCCAGTTTATTGCCTGGCAATGTCTTTGAGGGGATTGGTTGCTTATAATTAGCCACCATTTTTGCTCAAGTACTGATGGGAAAATTTTTTCGTTTTGAAATCATTCCTTTTCTCAATTTTGTTTAATGCCTTCCACTGACGAAATAAAAAAATTCGGTATTGTATAATAATATTATTAATTAAAACTTCTATTACTAAACTAAAATTCGCGCGCAGTTCGTCGGGTTACCGAAGCAGGGGTGCCATCCCCTCCTCAGAGGATCAAAATTGTGATGGCATGTCTTCGGATCATCCTCCGGGATGTTTCCCAGACCGTCGCCAATAGCCCATTGNAGAAGTCCAAGAAAAAATAATAAGACAAAGTAAGACTACTCGAATAACGAATAAAATAAAAATGATAATAACTGTCCGAACATACGACAATTCAAGCATAAACGAGCTACAACTGCCAATGTTTTGAAGTAAGTAAGATGGCCGACGGTTAATTTCGCGGTTAACATTGCCGAGTTTTCGGCTTCACGAATTTCTGCTAGTGTCTCCTCCATCTACTCCTAGCTCCATGATTCATACTAAAATTACGTTTGACGTAGCTTAAAAAAGCTCTTTTGAGCACCAGCATCACCAGAAAGCCTCAGTAATTCAGATAAAGTAAAGAGACGGAAGCGTATTAACTTCGTGGTTTATTAAATTTTTTAAGAGTTAAATGTTGGCAACATTTCTGGCTTGTTTATTATTGTATAGAAATGGCTGCCGGTCCGATTGCAGAAAGAAATCAGGGTATGTTTAATTTTTGTGATATACTACTTAATGAAATCTTCATTATACATTGTTTGACTAAATTTTATATTCAAAATTAGTTTTTCTAAGCTTTAAGATTGTTTTACTTTTTATTTTGTAGTTACGTTCAATGCTTCCTTAGCCGCTTAAAATGGAAAATGCATAGTTCCGTCTAATGAATATTGTTCTTCTGTGAGGAAATTAAGCCGGTCCTCAAATATTTGAGTATTAAAATGATGAAATAAAAATAGCATTTCTCCGTTTTTTTTTTTTTTTAAAAATTCTGAACGGAATTTGTGAAAAAACATTTTGTTAAGACTGCATTTTATAGATAAAATAATTTGTGCAGAATCCGTTAAAACAATTTGAGAAGGATATCCGTTAATAATTAATTAGTAAAGTTGAAGCGACGTGACATCACTCATCATATTCTGCATTAATTGTTACCATTCATTACGCTTCAAAGTAACCTGCTTATATTTCGTCAAAGTGATGGATATAAATGCCTTTTGTTTGAAATCAAAAAGGGTTCTTTTCCTCTTCAGAATATTTCCTTAAATATCTCACACGGAAATGGTCATGTATCATCATACCAAGTATTTATTCTATTATATTATTTCGGTAATTTATGTCTATTTTTTCACCACGGAAAATATGTAAGGATTGCAAAAAACCATAACATTTTTCCCCATACTCTAGTTGTTATTTACTTTTGTGGACTCTCAATTACTCTTCTATTTTAATGTTAGACATATTGCCACATAATTACCCCATTCTTAAATAACTTGAATTTCGTCATCATTGTATTGAGTGTAGTAAAGTGCGGCGTGCTCTCTGCATTCGCTTATAGCACTGTGTTTCAATAGGTAAGGCTTAATTTAGCTTATCAAGATTTATATGAGCTCTGAGGCTCTTCTTCAAATTCAGCATGCTTCCACCGAATCCAACAGGAAACTTCTCATCATTGTTTTTTAATTAAGTTTCTCACTGTTACAATTTTTTTGTTGTTGCCACTTTTCTATTTCAGGGGTTATAATAAAATCATTAAACTATTATTGATGCCAATGCTGCAAAATTGTTTGTGGTAATAGGTATCTTATATACTACTATTATTCTTATGGTAATTTGTTTTTTATAACTCCTCAAAATGGCTAAGTATAATTTTTTCAAAGAGTTTTTGTTTTTCTATAAAAGATACATATATTTTATAATCACTTTCACAAAGTGAATTGTAAAAATTTTTTCTACCATTATCACTGCTTCAAGTTTTATTTCTTTATCATTTTTTACAATAAAATTTAATTTTTTGCAATGATGATTGCCAAATTTTAGTCCACCTGAGCCTTAGAATATTCTTGAAGCTTAGATCTTTTAAGACTTATCATTATCACGGTAGTGTTTATATTGACATTTATTATTTTAAAAGCACAGAATTTGCTTTAGATTTTATTTTTAGATTGATTTGAGTGTGTTAATATTTTCTCATTAATAAAACTATCCACAGATGCAACCATTTATGTGGGAGGTCTTGATGAAAAAGTCAGTGAAACTATTTTATGGGAGTTGTTTGTTCAAGCTGGTCCTGTTGGTAAGTTATATTAAGTTAGTCAATTTGTTAAAATTAAGTTTTCTCGTTGTTTCGTGCATGGAATTTTGATACTGTTTGCAGAGTTTTTCATTTAGAAGAAATTAAATCTATACTTTTGTATGTTTTACCTACTATATTTATTTTTTTGAGGTTATTAGTATTGTTATCATAAACAGATTTGAGATATTTGTGCGATTACTTATGTTTTCTACACTAATCATAAATTTAAACTTTATTGTTTAAATTATATTCACATTATAATTTACATACTTAGATGTGCTTTTAAATTTTCCTTCTATTATTTAATTGGTTTTATTTGGTCAACATCACGTTAGAGCTACAATAATGGACTAGAATTCGTCTTTTATGATGATCAAAGCATACTGCTGACATATACGCTCACTACACTACAATAATTGATTGTAATAGGAATGGATATAGTAATCACTCAGCCTCCACACAATGTTTCCCAATCTTCCAATTAAGCATTTAAAATTCAATATCAATACTGATTATGGAAAGTTTAAGCTTTTTTCTCCCGAATGTATTAGTTTAAGCTACTGAGAACATATTTAAGACAATGCTCCGAGGATTAAACACGATATCATAAATGTTGGTGCCAATTCTGCAAATGTTGTAATTTTGTTTTTGAATTTTAGTTAAAACTTTGTAGTTAAACTCCATATCTAGCTTATGCTCTGATCAGTGTTAGACCTAGTTACATCATCTCAAATTTCATTCCCTTCAATTATATTTGGAAGAGAAAAAAACCTTTCCCACATGTGCTGATTCCCCCTTGGCGACATTGTCTTAGAACATTACAGAGTTCTTGCAGAAAGATTTTTTTATTTGGGAAGCAAAGAAGTTGAGATTTTTATCTACGGAATTTTTCAAAATATTACTTTTACTGCAGAACTCCCCCCCCCCTTCTGCTGAATTATATTCAAAAAATGCCTTTCTCCCATATCGGAGGTGGAATAAATGCTCATGATTTTTTTCTACTTTCTTTTGAGAATAAAAAATTTCCACAATGACTGGTTTTAGCTAAAATTTCAGATTGATATCATGAAAAGTAATTTCCAAATAGCAAAAATTTAAAATGATTAACTATGCAAATATTTTTTAGAACAGGAGAATATTGCCAATATTAGAATATATATTCTTTGATATTTAGATTTAAAAAAAAAAATTTCTTAATTTATAATTAAAAAAATGATATGGTGTTCCATTCTATACATAAAGGCTTTTTTGTAAACAGAAAGCACTTCTGTTGCTTTAAATTAGCAACATATATGTTTGCTACTATTAAAAATGTCTTTCAGAAAGGTATTAGTACTCGAAAGAATTGTCGAGCAAAACTTGAAAAAATTCAGCCACAGGGTACTGATCTCTTTGTCACTTTTGTCATTTGGTTCGCTTTAGGTTTGGATTGTGCACGAGGCCACAAATTTGTTGTGCTATCCCTGCTGATCAGTCTTTATACAATTAAAAAGAAAATATATATTATAGAGTTCATATATCAAAAATGAGATTTTTTTAATATAATGCAGTGTTTTCACTACAGCGCGAGAACGCGAGAATCTCGCTTATTTTTTTCTTTTCTCGCATTAAAAAATGATTACTGTGAGAAATTCGCGCATTCTATAAATCAATTTCAAAATTCGCAAATTTCTCGCATTTTGGAAAAAGCTTCGAATTACGCCCTTTAGAATAAAATCCGTTTCACTTTTCTTCCTGGATCTTTAATTATTTCCCAACATCTGCCCTGTTATCTAGCTTCGAAAATTACCAGTATTGTTCAGAACCTTTTCGAACAACAGAACACAACCACGGAACCCCTTTCAGAACACATTTCTCTGCAACCACGTGTTTACCGTAGGTAAGGTTTCTTCATGTAAGACGTTCAAATTTTTTATGTGCTAATGTAGATGTAATGTAATGTAAGATGAACAAATGCCTTGTAAAGGCAAAATCTTCTATGATGATGCACCAAAAATATTCAATGCTTTAAAAAATAGAAGACGTTAAAAATGTATTATATTAAAGAAATGATTTTTTTTTTCAAGAGTTTTTGTGTTTTTTTAGTTTTTAGAAATCTCACTTAACTTTTTGAAATCTCACCCTGTTTTTGAGAAAGGGTGAGAAATTCTCCCCCATTTTTTTTCTATGATGAAAACACTGTATAATGCAAAGTTTTGCAATTGCACCTTTTTTTTATTTTGGCATTAATGTTTGTAATGTTTCAAATATAATTCAAATGATCTTTTAGGCAGGGTTCTTTGATTTAAATCAACTGATTTTTTTAAAATTACTACTACTACTACAAGTACTACTACTACATTTATAAAATTTAAGGAATTATAAATGTAAGGTTTTAAGGCCTTTAAATAAGATGACTCTAATTTAAATCAGCAAAAAAAGCTAGTTTTTTTTTTATAAAAATAAAGAAAAAATCACAGGCCTTAGTTTAAGGTTATTGAATTTTTCAAATTTATTGTAATTTTTCAGTGAATGTGCATATGCCTAAAGATCGTGTTACAGGCCAGCATCAAGGGTATGGCTTTGTTGAATTCTTGGGCGAAGATGATGCAGATTATGCTATCAAAATTATGAACATGATAAAACTATATGGCAAGCCTATAAGAGTAAATAAGGTAAGCATTTAATCTGTAAACTCTTTCTATTCAAAAATTTTTATGCATTTATTTTTTTTTTTTTATTATGTATACCACATTAATTTACTTCAAGTATATTATAACTCACAACTTAATATTATCGTTTCTCAATTCTGGTTACCCAAATTTTTCGTAGAAATTATTGTACCTGTACATACTTACTGCTTCATACATATTATCAAAAGTTATTATACCTTTCGTCAATTGGAAGAATTCAAGAATTATTATCACATACTTTACTAGATAAAAATGCTTTATAAAATTTACATGATAATTATTACTTGCATAATGCACGACTGACTTTGCATATTTTCATTCTTATTAACTGTTTCTTGTTTATATTTATGTAAGAAATCGTGCAGCTTCACAATTATCCAATTTACTAGTTGATTTTCGGCAACTCGTCTAAAAAGTAGCTTTTTATTTCATTCGGAATTCTAGACTTTATTTGATTCATGGCTACTTAATTTTTAAATTCATCAAAATCCTTTATTTCCATACAATTTAACTATTCGTCAAAGTATGTGATAATTTTAAAGCCAAAATCGCGCCATGAAGAAGTTGCTCAAAGGGTAGCTGAAACCTATTTAGTTACACTTTTTTAATATGATCAAAATCGGTCATGTTTATTTATGTATTTTATTTATTAATATATTTATTTTTTACTTTTGTTACCCATAATTTTTTAGAAATTCTCTACTAATTACAATTTTAAATTTGATAAGTTTATTTTAAATCTAAGAATTGGATTCACTAAAGTCAATTTTGATCTGGAAATGTATTTCAGGGAAATACACTTATATTTTATTTTGTAAAATTTCTTAAAGAATTTTTAATTTTTTTTAATTCTTTGATGCAGCGCATACATTAGCTGATAAAATTGCTGGTTATTCTTGATTACCAATTCTATTGAACAATTGAAAACATTTAAAATTCATTCATACTCACAATAATTTTTGATCTTGTATTGGAATGAGTCCTTTTTTTGTTCATTTTGTTTAAAGTTTTGTATATCCTTATGAGTTATTTTTTTTTTTTTTAAATTTCTGCTTTTTATTTTATAGGCTTCAGCTCATCAAAAAAATTTAGATGTTGGTGCAAACATTTTTATTGGCAATCTAGATCCTGAGGTTGATGAGAAGCTTCTGTATGATACGTTTTCTGCTTTTGGTGTGATCCTCCAAACTCCAAAAGTATTTTTTTCTTTTCTCTTTGCAAATTTTAATTCAAAATGTTTTATAAATTTTTAGTTAATAATAATGGTTCTTTATTGATCATTTCTGCTAATGCAACCTCAAGAATAAGCCTTATTTCCCAAAATGTTTTCTACAAGAAATGTTTTAAAACGTAAAACTTATATGTATAATATATATATTGAAAGTGAAAATATATTATATTAAAAAATTGCTTATTTAAAAAAAAAAAACACTTGATGCAAGTTTTTTTTTTTTTAATATTTAAAAAAAAAATTTTTTTTTCCTTTTGTGATTAGAGGACAAAATAATATTTCGCCTGGAAATTAATTGCTGCTTTTTCAGGATTAAAAAATTGCCTTCTCTCTCTCTCTCTCTCTCTCTCTCTCTCTATATATATATATACACATATATACGTAAAGTAACTTTTGAAGTTGCAGAATTTTCTTTTTATTCCAGGGGATAGAATTGTTCAATTTTAAATTTACTCTTCTTTTTTTTTTTACCATACTTTCTAAAAAGTGTATTTTAAAAAATAGTTATCTTTGCATGCATATAGCATCACGCATTAATATGTATGTTTATAAGGGAAGTAAATATGTTAAATGAATAATGAAGTTATTTCGAAAACTTTATATTTTGTTGAGAATTAAAACAAGCTACTGATATTGAATTAGAAAAAGGCATTTTACTGGCCATAGATAGATAGAATTCCTGCTGTCATTCTTGACTGGGGCAGAAGGGAAAAGGATAGAAAGGACACCTAAAACTAGCGAGGCACAAGATGATGGAGAGGGAGAGAAAGGAAAGAGCCTGGATTAACCNAAAATAGTTATCTTTACATGCATATAGCATCACACATTAATATGTATGTTTATAAGGGAAGTAAATATGTTAAATGAATAATGAAGTTATTTCAAAAACTTTATATTTTGTTGAGAATTAAAACAAGCTACCGATATTGAATTAGAAAAAGGCATTTTACTGGCCATAGATAGATAGAATTCCTGGTGACTGGGGCAGATAGAATGACTGGGGCAGAAGGGAAAAGGATAGAAAGGACACCTAAAACTAGCGAGGCACAAGATGATGGAGAGGGAGAGAAAAGAAAGAGCCTGGATTAACCAGTCGGCAAGAAGCTAGAGGGAGACTGGGGATATTTCGAAATCAAAAGCCTTTGAAGATGTTGAAATGGATATAAAAATTTTAAATCTTAAAAATTGGAAAACTTTTGTTGTATATGTGCTTTTTTGATGTAACTGTTGTTTTATTTTATTTTTTTGTATCGAGACTTATACCATACTTTAATTGATTTTCCATTTTTTTCTATTTAGTGTAATTTTTAACATAAAACATTGAAAGTATTATTTACTGAACTATTGCTTGATTTTTTTTTTGTATAGATTATGCGAGATCCAGAAACTGGAAATTCCAAAGGTTATGCATTTATAAACTTTGCTAGTTTTGAAGCGTCTGATGCAGCCATTGAAGCCATGAATGGGCAGTATTTGTGCAACAGGCCAATCACTATTTCTTATGCTTTTAAGAAAGAATCAAAGGGTGAAAGACATGGCTCTGCAGCTGGTAAATTTCATTCTTATTTTCTGATTGTTATAATTTTTCCTGAAATACTTATTGTGAACTTCATACATTATGTAATTTGCAACATTGAGTGGTGGACTAAAGCCCACTCTTCTTCAGATTCATTCATACCAGCTTATCTCAGAAGAAAAGGTATTGTCATCTTCATGCAGTTACTCTAAAAATTATGGAGTCTTAAAATCCATGACCCTCTTGGTTAACAACGAGTGGTTGAGAGAGTACTTTACAAACATTTTTAAAAGATATAAATCTGATAATTTTTAAAGAATTTTCAGTTTACCTTAAAATGCTTTACAAAGCTTAATAACATTTTAACATTGAGACTACCCTGTAATACTATTATTACAAGAGCTTAAAATTAAGAAATAAGAAAAATATTTATGAATCTTTAGCCAACCCCGATATGCTCTGCAAAGTTTCATCAATTTCAAATATTTAAAATATTATACTATTATAAATAACACATATTAGACATTTAAGACATTTAGTATATTTTATTACAAAAGTTTGGAACTGAGGAGGTTAAACTTCAATTATTCATAGCTTTTTTTTTTCTTTTCATTTTTATGAAGCGGCGGAAATCCTTGAATCAAGAAAATTCATTATAAATCTATTTAATTATAGTTATTTCAGTTTGTGAAAAGGTAGTTCCATATAATTATCTATTATAAATTTTGAAAAAAAAATCCAACTAACTACTATGATTTTAAAAGTCATTTAATAAATGTGAACACTACTGTTTTCATTTGAATTGAATTTATTAATTATAAAATGCATTTTAAAAGATATTTATCTTTTGAGAATTATGTTATAACTAATAAATTCTGCTTGTATTTTGATTTTTAGAACGTCTGTTGGCTGCTCAGAATCCCCTGTCTCATGCTGATCGTCCTCATCAACTGTTTGCTGATGCTCCACCTACTGTTGGTGGTCCAATGCCTGTTCCTACTCACATGGTTCCTCCACCTATGCCTCCTCCTGGTTTACCTGCTCCTCCACCAGCACCCATGCCAACAACTACAGTGGTTTCTACGACAAGCTCTCTACCTCCACCCCCACCATTGCCTCCAAGTTCCTTGCCCCCTCCTCCACCATTATCTATGAGGCCGCCTATGCCACCACCACCATCACAACCTCCTCCGCCTCCACCATCATGTAAGTTTCAAATATTTTTAATTTTTTGATTAATTCTTTACTCTCTCAGGGCTGATTGTGCTCCGTAAAAATCCGGATTTCCGGATTTTTCGTTAACCGTGATCCCGAAAGTTTCCGGAAATCAAATTTTCAAAGGTGGAACTTGAAAACACAGTTTATTTTATTTGCTTGTAAGGGAGAGCCTATTAAGCTTATATTCAAAATTAATATTCATTTTTTATCAGTATATGTAGTTATTATAATCGTAAACTCAAGAAAGACCTATTTGTGAACTTCAATTACTTCTCCAGGTCAACATAGATATGTATAAATGGTATAGGTATGTGTAAAATTTTAAATATATTTTAAGTAAACTAAGAAATATTGAGAAAAAGGAAAAAACCTTGTTTAAATTTTTTTCTAATTGTTTGATTTAAATTTTTTTTTTTTAACTCACAAAATTTTCTGCAATTTTGACTTGGGCTCACAATCACCCCTGCTCTCTTTCTTTTTACTAGTTTTATGTTTACATATTTTTAGAATTGTGAGTAATTTACAAAAAGAAATTTATTTTATCTTATTATCCATTTACATTAATTTATAAAACTTTTTTTCTTTGCTGGGTAGGTGGGAAAGATTTTAAAAAATTTACCACAAATCTGGACTTAAATGACCAAATTTATAAATTCTGTGTTTATTAATAATAAATATGATGAGAAATAAGTAAAAATAACTTCCTAGTGATCTCTCTTCTTGACCCCTCACTAACCTTTAATGTTACCCACATATTCTAGTGCACAACAGCCGTGACTGTGGTCTTTTTACATATAAACTAGATTAAAAACGTTAAAAATGGACCCTGTATTGTTACCCTTTTTGAACCCTTAAAATTTGTGACTTATGTCACTGCAGCTCTGTTGAACAAGTGTTACCTATCATTATGGATTCATGATTGACAGTCCCAAATAGGAAGAGGGAACACTTTTTGCTCATTTTCTAAAAGAGGGCAATGGTGAATCTTTTAGTCGAACTTTTTTTTCTTCTAAGAATAACAGCGTGTTTCAAATCCTAATCACAAAGAAATTATTTTTATATTCAGAGTTGTTCAATAACAAGTCTAAGTGTTGTTGTTTTACTACAGTTGTTTTGGCATATAGTTAATATGACATTTTAATTTGTATTATTTGTAGCTCACATGCCACCTCCTCCACCTGCTCCTCCAGTTTCATCATTTGGTGGAATTCCTCCACCACCACCTCCTTTACCAACAACAGCTGCATCTCAAATACCTGCTCCACCCAGTTCAGATGCACCACCACTTCCTCCAAAAAGTATAGAGCAGCCACCTCTTCCACCACCACCTCCTCCTATTGGTAAGTTTTATTAGATTGTTTTGTAACTTCCTATTTGGATTTGATATTCTGTGAGTGTTTAACTGGGTGGTCAGCTCAGATAACAGTATGGTGATGTGGTCTTCTGAAAGTAACTGCATAGAATTTTAAGTTATATTGTAATTATTTTAACAGCAAGAGTTTTATTGAAATGTTTCATATCAACTTTGAATGTGAGATGTCATTTAGTGTACAAAAATTAAGTAAAAAAAAAATCTCTTAGTGATTGTAGGCTTGCTATTATTGGAAGTTTTCATTTGTACCATAATGATTATTTTTTATGCAGAAATTAAATGGTGTGTATGTTTTGTCTTAATCTTATTATTGCCTTAGCTAAAATTTATTTATAAAGTATGCTTTGAATAGTACAATTCAGATATTCCTTTATTAATGTACAATGTATAAGCTCAGCTAATCGGTCCCTAGATTGAAAATAAGGTAATCTAGTTAAAAAGAATAGAACATAAAATTAGATTCAACTTTTGTAGAACAATCTGAATAGTGTAGAGCTCCCAAAACCTGGGGGAAAATAAAAAGTGGGGTCAAAATTTCCATAGTGTCAAAATTTATGTATTTATTTTATTTTATTGTTGTTTTACTTGGTTATTTTATGAGTTTTCAAATCCAGATATATTTCCACATAATTTGCAATAATATTTAGCAGTACCTTACAGCAGTTTTGTTCTCCTCAATATCTGTTTAATAATTTCTAGTTTCAGTTGTCTCATCAAAATTTGTCATGAAATGTCATGATTTTAACTATTTTTTTTAAAAAAATCATGAAAAGTCCTGGATTTAGGTCACTGAAAAATCTAATTTTTAAAATGGAATTTAACTCCCTCTCCACAATTTTAGGGTCTTCGTAATATCTGAATTTGTAACAAAATCAACACTCAAAGTCATATTTTATTAAAATATAAAAAGTTTTTATCATGTTCTTAAAAAACTATGGTGTTCTTTCAAAAAAAATTAAGTAAAAAAGCATAATTTCTAGAATGAAGTATCTTTTAAATTTCTGTGATTTCAGAATTATTATTTTTTATTTTTTTATTTTATCAATTTAAAATTCTACCTGAAGCAAGCCAGTCATTGGCAAATTTTTTTTTCCTCCGAAATGAGAACAGAAAAATCAGGAATATTTCTTTCCTTTCTAATGAACAGGAAAAGTATATTTAGAATATAATTCTTTAGAAGAAAAAATAATTTACTCAGCTATTTTATTGTTCCAACTCCTTCTTTACACTGTTTTTTTTTTTTTTTTTAAATCAATAAATATGAAGATGTAGAGTATAACAATTTTGGTTATACCTATCATTTTAATTAATATTATTATAATGCTTTTTAAATTTGTTATTCTATTTTTGTCGGAGAAAATAGTAACTTCGTTAAGTCATGAGAAGTTCATGGAATTAGCCATGGAAAGTACCATGTAGTTTTTATGGTTAAAAAATCAGAAAAATGTTAGAATATCTCGCTTATTTATAATATTTAAGGTGGGACACCTCTGTGGATTTGAATTTTACATCATTTGACTGTACATATCTTTGAGAACATTACTCCAGGTGTATAAGATTTAAATTATGTGATTGTAAAAGACTTAAAGTTCTGAGTTTTTTAAAAATTTCTCAACAATGCTTTCCCTGAATTAAAAATCTCAAAATTATTGTTTTATTTTTGATTTGATATAATTTTATTTCAAAAGGTTTAGGAATGTTTGATTGTGCTAATATGAGATATTTATAATGCATGGATCTTGATCAAAATTTCATTGCAGGTATGCCTCCAAATATGCCACCATTTCCTGGTCAAGGCTTGCCTCCTCCTCCAATACCTGGAATGAGGCCTCCAATTCCTGGAATGGGTTATCATTCACAGCCATTTGGTAATTAGTTTTATTTTTATTAACTCAATAAAAAGTTTTTTTAAAGCTAACCATATTCATAATATATCTATAATTTCAATGAAAATTACTTTTAATAATAAGTATAAGTAATGTTGTTTTAAACTGAAATTTATTAGTTTTAACCATAAATTTAAAGTTTTTTTTCAACAATTCAAGATTTTAGCTAAAATATTTAAAAATATTTTTAACTAAACTTGTGTTGTGCTGGATTCTTATAATAATTTAAAGCTTATCATCTTAATAAACAAGTGTTGTTGAAAATTTCAACTTCTGTTCTTTTTTTGTTATTAAACTATTGTGAGATTTACGATATTCTGTTGTTAGTTGTCACCCTTTATGAACCCATTTGTTTCTGACATTGTTATGCATTTGTTAACATTCATTTGATTTTTTTATTATTATTACCAATGTATGATATTAAATACAAAAAGATTAGAAACCTTTTTTTATTTATTATAATTTTTATACTGAAGACTTCAATAATAAGATTAACTCTCCTGCTTACTTCACCCTAAAGAAGCTGAGAATAATCTTTATGTGGCAATGCTATACTTTTTAAGATTTTGATGCCGTTAAACATTTTATTAAAATTTAATTGAGTATTTGCTTATACTCATCATAATGGTTAATGAAAGCAATTAATGATGCTTTAGCTTTCAAAAATATCAGCTGTAATATGAACATTAAGAAAAAGTTTAAGGTTATAACTTATTCTATTTGTAACCTTTAATAATACTGGGTTATACTTTTAAGATTATTAACCAGTTCAAATGTCAATTTTGTTAAAAAAAAAAAAAGGGGGGGGGAGAACATTGATATAGTCAACTTTAAGGCTGTTCTCTTATACCTCTGCTGTCATGTTAAATCATGCTTGTTAGTAAATATTGTACTATTTTTATAATGGTCATCTAATAAAATGAGTGTTAAGTTTTATCCATCTCCAGCCAGCACCCTTTTTAAAAAATATGAAATTATCATATTAATTTTAAAAATGGCAATATGAATAAAATAAAAAGTGTTTCTTCGATTTTTTTTATACCACAAACTTAACTTCAACCTCTAACACAGCATTGAAAATTGAGAATTATGCTATAATGTTAATGATTTTCATCTAGTGGGAAAATCTGGAAGTTAAACTTTTGAAATGTTTAGTCTTATTAAAGTACAGACAATTTTTCAAAGATATATTTAATTTAAAACTAAGGCTTTATTTCAAGTTCAAGGCACGAGAACTGTGGCTTTATTTAATTTTCATTTCTGAAGAAGCTTGGAAGATCATGTTCTATAATTTTACTTTTATTAAAACAACATGAAAAATGTATAAAATCAAATAATTTGAAAGTAATTCTGTCTCTCAGTTTAGAGGATTTGGACACACCTTTGAGTCTAAGGTCTCTACCAAATTCTCTGAAAGGATTTCCAAATTCACTGAAATGCAATTTCCCTGTAGGGTTTGCTTTCTTCAAGTAAACACTGGCTTTATATTCTTGTTACACCCAAGTGATCTTTTTTTCCTTTTGTCTATGCATTAGACTCAGCTTGTAATACTGATTTTGCTAAGGATGTAACATAGTTTGTTTTTAATGCAGTATATTTGCTGCTCCTCTGGTTTCACTGATCTCTGCATTCAGCCAAGAAGCAAAAAATAAAATTTTAGAAATATAGAATTGAAAAATACTTACTTAAAAACTATTAAATTATTTATTATCTTTACATGCTTTACACTGAGTTTCTTTTACAGGGCCACCACCTCCACCATTCCCACCTGGTCGTGGTGCTCCTCCTATGCCCCCTCCTCCACCTGCACCAAGAATGAGAATGCCACCTCCACCACCTCCTCCTCCACCAAGTTCCGCTCCTTAAAACTGATTTTGTATCTAAATGAACTTTTATAGGAAAAGACTTTAAATAAATATTTTGTTTACTTGTACATGGCATTTATTTATTTCATTCTTAAATGTTTATATCATCAAAAATGAATGAAAAGAAAACATTAAAGACATAACTAATCAATAAAAATTTCCTAATTTTTATAAAAGTAATAAATTTTTTTTATAAATATGTCAATCAAAATGAAGGAATAATAATCATGAATAAAGGACTTTTCTAGCTGGATAAACAATATAACTGTCAACTAATCCTGAAATATTTAGAAATAATAGATCTGGAAAAATTCAATCACTGAAACTTTTTTTTTTAATGTGCACTAGATCTATTAGTTTATCATAATATTTTTTATTTATTTCAGAATTATTTTGAAAAGTAATATTTTTTAGCTTTTAAAATATTCTCTTCTAATAACTTTTAAGAAAAGTAAGAGGTAATGTTATTTGATATCAATATTACGTGAAATTAATATTTTCCTATGTGAATTTTTGATTCAATAAATTGAAATACTGCTCATGAGAGGATTTAAATTGGATAGTGGCGTTTTTCCATGTTCTTTGAAGAAAAAGAAAAAATACTAAGACTTGACATAAGAGCCACGATCTTAGCTCGACAAATTTACACTGAAAGTTAAAATTTAAAATTGAGGAAAATACTGTGAGTTCTTTTTTTTTTTATTATTATTACTGTATAACTGAAAAACATAAAATGTATTAACAAATTTTTTAATAATTAAAAAAAATTAAATGAAAAACCATTTTTTTTAACCAAAGATATTTTTGAAAAAGACTTCAACATCTGAAAATTTAGAGCTCAAAGTGCATTGTTGTATTTTTTTTTACATATGACTGACCTTCTGGAAATTACACTGGAATATTATTTAAAAACTTCATTCATGAACTTTCTGCTAAAAGTGTCAATTTACAGCCAGAATTCAAGTAAAATCTTAAAACACCTGCTTTAATTTATTTTAGCAAATCAGGTAATGGTGTTGCTACTGTTTTTTCTTCTTCTCCAAATTAGACTTTTCTAAATAGTTAATTGGCTCTAAAAGAAGTAAACCATGCTATAAATTTACATGAAGTGCTAGACAAATTTTCCTCTCAGAACAAAGCTGTCATGGCTGGGAAATGTTTTTCCATATTGAATGAAATCCATTTACTGTTAATAATCAGAGCTAGAGCAGATTCATAAATCAAACCTTAAATTAGTTATAAATTCATACTATACTATTTTAATGCCTTTAAAAATGCTTTTTCTTTCATTCGTGCTCCTAACTTTAAAGAACATTTTACAAACCTGAAAGTCTGTAAAGATGCTTTCTTTTTTAGGTTCTTAAAATTTTCTGTTTTTACGTGTCTTACAGGAGAATAATCTGTTATTGTAAGAATGTTGATAATGACAATGTTGAAAAGTTTTTAATTTTTTCCTAATAATTTTATTTTAAGTAAGGATGATGTAAACTCTAACTTCTATTTCCTTGAAAATATGCAGATATTTTTTAAATATGTCGACTGCTTTCCTGGTTAAAAAACTAATATTGAAACTTTTTGATGTTATAGTTTTTGGTTCATTATTTTCAAAAGGAACAATTACAATGACTTATGTTCACCTTTAAGCATTAAAAAAATATATTTTTTTTAAATCTAATTTAAATGTATTAATTTTCTTCAAATTTCTACTCTGCTAAAATTTTTATTTTATAGATTAGAAAATTTGCATCTCGGTGAGTATTCCTAATTTTAAACGAGCACATCAAACTTTTTAAAAATGAGGGGATAAAATATTAAATATAGAAATGAAAATTTTCAGCTTAATTAATTAACTCAAACTATATTTGAGAACTGTATAAATTTTTGGTGTTAAAAACATTTATAAATATTTGTGTTTGATATTGACTATATAAATATCATTTCATTTTTTCTTTACTTCTTAAATATATTAGAAACATGGTTTCAAAGCATTACTTTTAAGTCATTAGACATTGTTTACCCGTAAACTGAGAGACAAAACAAAAACAGTCTTAAGTAATTTTTGTTTTATTTAAGCTAATCAAAAATTAATAGTGAAAGTTTAGATTTCCATTTCATTGATGCTGCTATGTAATTGTTTTTAGATTATCCTTTGTTAAAACCACACTAATGCAGGATAATGATATCTGAGATGATATCCACACTAATAATGATATCTGAGTTATTAAGTACTCATTATCAAAACTAATTAATGTAATGCGGAAGAAACATTTTAGAATCACAGATATGTAGGCTTATCAAACCTGACTTTACAAATTTGCTAATTGTAAACATTTTATGTACTATTTATATAGTAAAATTTAATATCAATAGCTTAAGATGATATTCTTCTTTCCCGAACTAACATATGATAAACAATATTAAGAATTTTTTTACCGAATTTGAAAACAGTAAAAAATTTATTTTTTTCATTAAACATTTATCAAAATTGAAACAGCCAAAAATTGGAAAAATCTGAAATTTTTTAATGATTTGTCAGTATGTGTTGGCAAAAACTTAGTTTAGTTAGCAACGGGCACCCCCGCTTCGGTGGCCCGACGACCTGCACTCGAAGTCGAGCGTTTTACGGTAGAACAGTTCAACGAGGACTAATACCGCACACCCTCGGTGCCTACGCAGGCTAACCCAAATGGTCACCCACCCGCACACTGACCGCAGCCAGTGATGCTTGACTTCAGTGACCTGCTGGGAAACGTGTCTTAACGATCAGTGCGCTACGGAACAGCATATATAAAAAGTTGAATTTGAAAAAGATTTTTATGATATAATAACTTCCATATTATTAAAAAAATAATTTAAAATGTATATAATTAATTTAATATTTTTATTGTTGCTGTAGTTCATCTACGTCGGACTAGAGCTGCACAATGGACTATTGGCGACGTTTTGGGACACATCTCTGAGGATGATCCGAAGACATGATATCACAATTTTGATCCACTGCATAAGGGGATGGCACCCACGCTTCTGTAACCAGATGACCTGCGCGAAGTCGAGCATTTCGAGGTAGAACAGTTTAACGAGGATCAATACCGCACACCCTCAGTCCCAACGCAGACTGATCCAAGTGGTCACCCACCCGCACACTGACCGCAGCCAGTGATACTTGACTTCGGTGGGAACCGTGTCGTAACGATCAGTCCACTGCGGGACTCTTATTTTCTTCATCTTTAGCATTAGGAGTTACTATTTTTCTTCTCAAAACGAAAAAAACTTCGATATTATTAAATGCCACTGCGGGACAAAATATTTTTAAAAAATAATAATTGTTTATTTGATTTTGTGAAATAACTGCGACCGTAATCAGATTATGAGAACAGTCATCATTCCGGAACTTTTTTTTATTGACAGTTTTTGTATCATACGATGAATGGGGAAAGTTTAATAATATTGCAAACGATGACGGAAAGTTTAAGATAATACTTAATTATACCAAATAAAAAGTAGCATTTAAGCTGCTTGATTATTATATCTATTTGAGATTCAATATATAAATACTTGGAGTTGTTTTGAGTGTTGTCGATTGCAGTATAAACAATAAATAGTAATTAGAAATGATTATCCTAACTATAATTGCTCGTGTTGGTGACGGTTTAATTTTGACAGAGTCAGTTCAGCATGATGAAGAGGTAAAATTGAATTTTCTGCAACGCTATTGCATTTGTGCCATTATTAAACACTTCATAAATCAATCTTGCGTGTTGTGATGTGTCAACTGTTTGGATTTTGTCTTTAATGCTTTATTCCATGGCCCTGGAAATCGTGCTCTTCATTCTTTTTTTAAAAATGCTTTTATATACGTTCTTTAAAAGCATTTATTGTTTTCTCATCTAATAAAATAAATAATAGTAAACTCAACCAATTTTATTGGAATTATTGTTTAAGGTTTATTTAGATTATCTTAGGAGGCATTATATATATAAGTAGGAAATTATTAAATACAAACTAGATTTTTGAAAGTAGACTTTATTTTTTTTTAAAGACAGTTTTATGGTGTTATCTTTTCAAAAGAGACAAGTAATTAATAATTGATTTAAAAAAAGAAATATGTTCGAAAAACTGCTGTTAAAACTGGATATTTTGATTATGGATTATAGTAAATTGATTATCTTTGTTGTGTATCTTTGATTATCAGACTGTAGACACAATTCTCAAGTAGGTCCCCTCCCTTTCCATTTATACCAATATCACATAGGCATAGATTAATAATCTAAACATTGTTATAGGCTCAAAATTTAGGTAAAGCATTAGTCAGGAACCACTATAATCAGACTCTTACCAACATGAAATACTAAGTGGTTCCTCAGATTTTGTTTTTCATTTAAGGATATTTCCGTAGCATTACCTGTCATGCCAACTACAATCATCACCTAGGTGCCAAATAGATTTTAAATTTGCAAATTTAAAAAAAAATGTAGGTGCCTGGGGGTGACTACGAGTTATACGTTTCGAGTTGGTCCTTTTCTGTGATATTTTTTAAAATTTTTCGCGGGACGCTTCCCGAAACTTGGCGAAGACATGGCGATTATTCTGCCACAGATCACAATATGGAAGTCTCCCCTTTCATTTTTTAATTTCTTGTCGTGGTCAGGTTTTTTTTTTTACTGCAATTTCATTGGTCAGTTTCTGAATCACAGTAGAAACATTTTATATTTAAAATGATTCTATATTAATCTTTTTTTAATATTTAATGTAGGAGAAAAGATTCTTTTATCTAGGATACCTTCCTTTATCTAAGACACATAGAATATAGATAAACCAGACTAATTGACAAGTCTTGGCGAATTCTGGGCAGTATCCAAAATAAAATATTTAAAAAAAAAACACCTCTAAAAAAGACCAACTTGAAGGGTTTAACTCATATAATATATTTGGAGATTTTCCTGGGAGTGGCTCCCAGAAAAATCTCTAAATATTTTATTAATTTTTTTAAATCGCAAGTTTATACCTATTTGGTGTTTTGGTGTGATGGATCACGATTGGGAAATAATATGTAAGATTTAACATAATCTCTGTAATAAATATCTAACATTAAGTCTGTCTATTAAAATATGATTTTAAAATATCAGTTTATAATTGCTTCATTTGAATTTTTATACAATTTATATAGTTTATTTAAATTTATTTTGTTTTATAAATAATATTTAATAGGAGCATGTAAACATATCTGTGAAGATTTATCAGACTAGTGTATTAATTTTTTCCTTTGTTGATCTTATAGATTCTTGTCAAATAATTTGGAAATTATTTAATGAAGGCATATTATCAATGTATAAAGTGTGAATGATATAAATGTGAAACATGAAAGTATTTTTTATGATTTTGTGTAGTATAATATTTATTATAAGTCATAGTAAAAATATGTATATTTTTTTGAAAAATATTTTATTATTTGAATTATAATTTTTTTATAAGGTAGAAAATTCTCTGAAATGGAAATTTGTACTGTCAAATAAAGCACAATTAAGTTTTACTTAAAATTTTCATATGGCAGATTTTCATAATTAATTTTTTTTTTCTCATATTACATTAAAGAACATTTCTTCATCATTACTATCTTTTAAAAATTCTAGAATTTATTTTGTCTCTTTTTAATTTCTTGGGTAACAAAAAATGTTAAATATTTCCATGTTACAAAATTTATAAATTCTTAACTGAATTAAGTTTATGTAAACAAAAAATTATTTGAAGATAAAATGAAATGATCTATACTGCATATTTAATGTATTGAAAATATGTCCCTGACTTGTTTTTTTTGTAGACTGGTAAAACAACTTATGAATATCACAACCAAGCTAAATCAATTTTGCGGAAGTTGAACAATCAGTCTGTTCCTGTTTGTAGCATAGAAACTGGACCATATTATTTTCAGTAAGTACTACCTGGCTGTTTATATAATCATTGCACAATTTTTTTCCCTTCATTTTATTGCAAAAAAAAGAAGAAAAAATAAAGTATTGATTTGAGTGTGTCTTAAAATATGATCTAATTCTTGTAAACATCATTTTTTCAACTCTGTTAAGTCTTATTCAACTCATTAAATTTTATTTAAAATGCATTCAAATTTATTACTGAAATGTAAAGTTGCTTAAAATTTTTCAACATAAAAGTGTGATGTCCTGAAAATTTTTGTAAAATTAGTCCACATTATTAATTAGGGAAATTTTTTTTCTCCAAATATTAGTTGTTTTACATACAGCTTATCTTTTTTGAACAAATACCAAGAGATTTACAATATTTAAATTTTTTTTTCTTCACATTGTTGAAATAATTTCTATTTCATATTATAACTTTTTGTGTTGTTATTTCTGGCTATTGCCTTCATGATATGGGGACCAGTGAGTACTTCTGTTAGTGAATGGTTGAAAAAATTTGATTTCAATTTTCAAGGATTGACTATAAATGTGTTTTCATATTGATAAAATTGTTGTTTTTCTATTCATATATTTATTCACCATTTGTTTGAAGTAAATATAAAAATTGTTTTTAGAAACTTGACATAGTATGAAATTTTTAGCTTCAATATTATTTTTAGAACAATGAAATTATTTAATTATGTTTTGTTTTCTATTTTGAAACATCCTATGTAAAAAAAATTGTTTTTGATTGTGGAAAAAAATTGTTTTTTATGTAAATGCAATGACTGAAATTTAAGAATTTCTTTAAACTTAAAAATTTCCAGCACTCTATAAAAAATATATTGATTTTCCAGATGCCACATCACTATCTTTTCATAAATGCAAAATTTTTTCTAAATTATGTATAAAAACATAAATGATAACATAAATCAGAAAATGATAGTTAGTGACATTGAAATCTCAATTTTTTTGGTCATTTTGATTCAGTTGTCAAACTGTTTTTAAAATGTTTAAAACTTATATTTATTTTAAATTTAACATATTTTTGAAATTCTAACGAATGATTTCATATGCAGTAAAACTTCGATTATTTAAAGTTATTGGGGCCAGGTCTTCCATCAAATAATCAAAGTATTCAGATTATAATGATAACATTATTTTTATCATTAAATTCTCAAAAAACAATTTTTTTGTTTGTTAATATAGTGCTATAATATCATGCTGTCAATACTAATATGACCATTCAGAAAATATTTTTATTCTATTGTTCCAAATAGCAGTATTCTTTTGATCTGTTTCTACAATGCAACATCCGATTTTAAATCAACAGCTGATTTCATTGAGTTATTGATTTGTATTCTGTTGTAGGCTTTGTACTGCTTCTGATAATTTTATTCAGATTAATTTTTTCCGTAGATAACATACCAGGCTTTCTTTATAGTGGCAGTGAAAGGATGTTGATCCAAGTAAAGATAGGCGTCATTGGAAGGGGAGTGTGAAGGTGGGCATTTGTCCCCTTCAATAATTAGAAATCTTCTGTAAGTCCCCTTAAATATTTCTGATAAAAAGAGAAACTTTTTATCAATTATTATCAGTTGAGCAAGATATGGCTGCGTGGATACGAAGCTGATGTAAAATAGTATACTCAGTGGTAGACAGGGGTTAGAATTTCCTTACTTTCTGGCTAACCATGGGAGATTTTCGTGATTTTCATCTCCGTGTTTTGCAACTGTGGGTTAGTTCAATCAAAAAGTCCTCTGAAAAGGCTAGTTCGTATCTATGCTTGAACCAGGAGGTTAAACATTGATAATCTTCAAGCTCAGAATTGGATTGGCTGTTCAAAGCCAGGTATAAAATTAAATCATTTATGATTTAAGTTCATTGAAGATAAAAATAAGAAAGACTTTAACCTTTTTAAAGATCTTTAGCAGAATTAAGAAATGTTTTTGTGAAATTTAAAGTGTGACTGTGTATTTTCGTAGAATTGTGTATTTTAATTTCACCCTACTTAAAAATTAGGTACTTGCAATGCCCATGATACTGAACTACATTAATGATAAGTGAATCAATTAAAAATTGCATTTTTCTGATTTTTTTTTAAGCAAAAACCATTTTATTCACTAAGAAACTTAAATTATAATTTTTGTGTAGTTATGTTGTACAAAGAGAAATAACTCTTGTGTAGTTGAATAATGGCAGCATATTATGTAAAGGAGAAAGAAAAACTTATTGTGTGTGAAAAAAATAATAATAAAAAAAAAATATTTTGAGCCCTCCTTTGATCGACAGAAGTATTCAGATGAAATACCTAGATACAATTATAGTTCTACAGTAAATTTTATTTCGCTGTTAAATTCTGGTATCTTATAATTATTTTGATTGACATTGCATTATGTAACATCAGTTTATAGTGCTAATTTATTTTTGTGTTTCTTGTATAGTTACCTTATTTATGAAAATGTTTGCTACCTGGCTTTATGTGATAAATCATTTTCCAAAAGACTGGCATTTGCATATTTGGAGGATTTAAAAAATGAGTTCAGTACACATTATGGTAGAATGGTCTTAACAGCAATGAGACCCTATACATGTATTGAGTTTGGTAAGGTTGCTTATTTTATTTGTGTTATTAATTTTGAAAGTGGAATAAGTTATTTAGGAAGTGGTGCAAGTTTGAGGTTTTTAATGGTTGTTGTTTAAATAAATTTGAAATTATTAGCAAATATTAATCAATTTGAGTGATATTTTTAATACTATAATTTGAGGAAACATTAAAGTTCAATCATGATTACTAGAATTATAAATAAATAAACAACTTTTTATCTTCAAATGGTCTTATTCCACTTTCAAAATAACAGGCTATTTAATTATTTGTTAATTTTTTTTTTATCTTTCTATTAACAGGACATGGTACTTTTTTTTAAAAGAGTTTTTATTACTGGTACCTGAAATTACAGAAAAAAAGAAAATGTGTGATTGTTTCATAATTTTTCATAAATATATTTGTTTGCTGAAAATTTTCAAGAAGTATTCTTTTTGCTATCTTATCAAATCTGCACCAGCAATTTTATTAGCATTTTGATCATACTTGTAACTTCAATAAAAGTTTTTTTTTAACTTTAACAAAGTTATAAACTTTAACAAATATCATATGAGTTCTTTTAAACTGTTTCTCATTGATAATAAAGCTGTTTAATCTTGCAACAATCTTTAATTTGTTACTTTAACAGTTAAAATGTTTCATCTTGTTAAACAGACACTTCTCCTAATTGAAATTTTTAAATATATAATTTGTTTTGGCAACTTTTTCTTACATTTTATTTACATCTTTTTTCTGTTCATACATTGTAATTAAAAAGCATTTCTCTGAAGTTTCTACAAAAATTGTTTGTGTAAAAATGATTAGCGAACTGTAACTAAGATAAATTATCATTTTGTTTGATCTTTTATGATCTGGAAATCTGTTGAAACACTTAACTTATCTCACATGTGAACTGTTTTTCTTTATAAACTCCCTCTTGGTCATATTCTTGAACAGTTCTATAAAAAAGTAGCAGGCAAGAGTACAAGCTCTGAAAACAAATACAGTAGAGTCTTGATAGTTCGAGGTGGACAGTACCTAACCTACCTCGAACTTTCAAAAACTCGAATCATCGACGTAAAAATTTAATAAGTATTTCAATAAATGGAGACAGCAGTTTTTAAATTTCAGTATTTAGTTGAAAAATATATTATATTTAAAGANTGTTTTTCTTTATAAACTACCTCTTGGTCATATTCTTGAACAGTTCTATAAAAAAGTAGCAGGCAAGAGTACAAGTTCTGAAAACAAATACAGTAGAGTCTCGATAGTTCGAGGTGGACAGTACCTAACCTACCTCGAACTTTCAAAAACTCGAATCATCGACGTAAAAATTTAATAAGTATTTCAATAAATGGAGACAGCAGTTTTTAAATTTCAGTATTTAGTTGAAAAATATATTATATTTAAAGAAAATTTACTTTTATTAGAGGATCAGGAAACATTTACTGCTTCAAACCAAGTCAAACCATCATTATATTAATGCAACAGGTTAATTGTACTTAACTGTAACTGTAGTATAATTGTCTAATATTTTTTGTTTAAACGTCATTGCTTAATATAATGCTGGCACACAACCACTCTTAATATTTTTCCAATTTTAAATACTAAGTGAAAAAAAATCAATATTTAAGTATTTTTGTAGTAAAAAAAAAATTTCAAGTGACATAAAGAATATTGAATTTATGGTTGCACCAGCAACGAGGCTTTAAAAAATTGGTAGTTAAACTACTGTTCCATAAAAATTAATTTATTCTTGAACACGACTAAGGATTATATATATAATTGCTTTTATATTGTATAGTGAATTGGTAATTGATATTAACAATGAATCTGCAAGATTTAAAAAAAAAAAAAAGTCAAATCACTATTGATTTGAAATTTTTTGCAATTGAAATGACTATTAATAAATTTGTATGACTAATTAATCCTTTTGTCTCATACTCATTTTTTGAACAGTGTATCAGCGTCAGATTTAAAACAATGTTTTGCTTTTTCCATTTCTTGTTAAAAAAAATAGAAAATAAAATTTCTATTTCATATTTGTAATTTTAAACTCAACTTAAGAAGTCGAGAACTTTAGATTGAGTTGAATATTAGATTGATAAACTTGTCTTTTTGAATGAAACTTAAGTAAATGAAGGTTTTGAGAAACACTTTAATGAATTTCATTAAATAAGCTTTGATTTTTTTATAGTTACAATAGAATAGGGAATGTAATGCCTTTGTATCAATATCGATAGTTAATGTATGTCTTTCTGTTAATAGCTATTATATAGTCTTTACGTTAATAGTTAATTAATGTTGTATCCCTTATAAACTTAAAATAAGATCTTTTTATTAAAAGTTAAAAATTTTTTTAAAAAATAATACTTTCTTAAAAATAATATTAATAAATAATTCTTCAAAAATACTTTACTAAATAAATTTTCATTCACTAAATTTTTTGTTGGATAACTTATAGAAGCCATCATTCCTTTATTTCAGATAATTATATGCAAAAGGCAAAGAAATCCTATTGTGATAACCGTGCCAGACGGAATCTCACACACCTGAATACAGAATTACAGGATGTGCAGAGAATAATGGTTCAAAACATTGATGATGTTTTGAATAGAGGATCTGCTCTCTCTGGTAAATTTTTTTCTTAAATCATTAACTTTTCATTTATTTTAAGGAGTAATATAATTTTTTTCCTTCTCATTTATGAATGAGAATTTCTGTTTGAAGCATTGATTGTATATTTTTTTATCTCAAAATCAAGTCTACTTATAATTTAATAAGTTTTTAAAGTGATGTTTAATATTTGAAAAATTTTAAGAATTCCATGTAAAAGCTGTCGATTCCATCATTGGTAATCGATGGAAGTTAACCCGGGGATTTTCCCGTATCGTGATCTGTTGCGCCAACTACAACTGCCAAGGGTCAAAATCTATCTTAAACTTGAAATTTTTTTTTTTCAAATGTAGAGTTTTGCCTAGAGGTGGCTACGAGTTACAACCTTCAAGTTGATCCCTACTGTTATTTGTTAATTATTTTTTTTAGTTTTTCTTGGACTGATGTCCAGAAGTTGCCAAGACTTAGCGATTATTCTGACACAGATCACAGTGCAGAAATCTTCAAACTGAGCCTCACTTACTGTAATAACTTTGAAGCTTTTTCATTCAATTTCATTGTTTTTTCTTTTTTCATTTTGAAATTTCTTTTTAAATCGATATAAGATAGTTTTTATTATTATATGATCGAAGATATGAGATATTCAAGCATAAGCTGCAACTAACTAAAATGAATTTGATGTAATTGTCAATATTTTTAAATTTTTCAGAAAGGCAATTTGAATTATTTTTATCACATTTCTTTTTTTAATTTCATGTTATTACCATAATTTTGTAAAAAAAGGACATATTGCCTTTTATCTCAGATACACGGATATGTTCTAAATTACAAATTTTAAAATATACTCTGGGAAAAAAATTCAGTTATTTAATGTCAAACAGCCAATTTAAATTTGTAGTTATTATTTTTATATAACTTATTTTTGCTTTATTTACTTTTATTATTGAAAACTTTTCTATAAGTCTCTATAGTGTAATGATTTTCATACAATTTCAATTTCTTGAAATTTACTAAGTTTTTTTCCTTTTATTTTGGCAGTCGTGTAACTTTTCTTCCCATTTTCTTCAAATATGGATATGACCATTAATAATAGAATTTTTTTTTAAACCAATCTGTGCTTTACTTTAACTCTTGCTTTAAATTTTATAGTTTTAAAAAGATTGTAAAAAATGTGTATTACATATATGTTTTTTTAATGTTTCAGAGTTGGATTCCAAAGCTAGTAACCTTTCTTTGTTATCTGAAAAATACAAGAAAGATGCTCATTTTTTGAATATAAGTTCAGCTTATACAAAATTAGCTGCTGCTGCAACTGTGGTATTTGTAGTGTTTTTATATTTTTGGATATTGTAAAAAAAATTCTACATCCAAGCACTTTTCTTATGTATCTCTATTAATTTTATTTGTGAGATATAAGGTTTGACATTTATTTTTTTAACTTAACCTAGAAACTATCAAATTAAACAATAATATTAATAAAAATAATATGACAACTTTAAAATCTTTTAAATCCTTCAAAATTTTATTTGCATTATAAATTGAATTAATTTCATAAGAAACATTTTTTATTTATTTGTTAATTTTGTCTTTCTAGTGATTGCTTTATTTTTTCATGTTATTAAGAAGAAAAAAAGAAAATTGTATGGAGTGAAATGGAAGTTATGTAAATTTTAGAATGTGAACTTATAAAATTTGTATAGAGTTAAATCTGTGGGTAACTGATATTTTGATCTTTTTATATATTTACCAAATAAGTTTGTAGTATATGTTAGTTTATAGTATACTATTAATAATATATTATGAACATGAATTTTTGTCAATTTAATTTTATTGCCAATTTTTTACAAACACTTTGACTAACAATAAAAATTATACAAATTGCTGTAATATTGTGCAATTTAATATTCAAAATTTAGATTTTTAGATTTAAATTGTGGTACACAATTATAATCTATTCTCTAAGAATGTACCATAATACTCTTAATAAGTATTTTGAAAAAAGGATTTGTGTTTTTACTTCTTATTCATTAAAGTGATATTGATTACCCATTGATTTGCCTCAATACATACTCAATTTAGCTCAAACTAGTATTCATAATCTAGTTTTATTAAAAACAGTAGTTGTAGGCTCAATAAATTTTTGAAATATTTAAAGTCTGACTTACATATATACATACATAATACTATTATAAAGCCTGTTATTGTTTCCTTCCTGTATTTTCTGATGAACTTTGTAGATAAAAATTGTTATTTTGATATGTAAATTCCATTCCAATTTGTTGAATTTCCTTCCATGTATTTTATAAGAATATTAATAAAAAATATTCCTACAATTAAAATGCTTTTTATTAGTTTCTAAGTATTATATACCAGATAAAGGCAATTTAAGGTCACGTTTTTGTTCTTTTTAAAATGTTCTGAAATTTAGAAAAAAATAATACTTATTATTACACCTGAAAACATAACTTTTCCATGAGTAGCCAGTTGCCTGTAGACTCTAAAATTTATTAGCTATTTTTTCTCAATCTTAATAAACCGGTGACCAATATCAATGGGTCCTTTTCATAATTTTACAATCTTTTTTTTTTTGTTGCTTGGATTAAACTATATTTTAATAAAAAAATTCATTTAAAAAATAATCTGCGGCTATAAAAAGTTAATTTAACAATAAAAATAACAGAAATACATGGCAAAATTTAATTTAACTTACTGACTTAAGATAACTTTATTTAAAAATGTTGAGAGTGGCAAAATACTTTTAATGTATGCATTACAAATTTGAAATGTGTGAATTGTTTCCATCAAATATGTGTGAAATTCTCTTTCCACAAATTGATGAATTCTGATGGATCAACATTTTTATCGAGTCATTGGACATTTTCTGCAATGATGTATTTTTATCATTAAATAATTTTCAAAAAAATAAGAAGATGGGAAAAAGGTACCAGTTGTTAATTTAAGTCACTTTTTTTTTGTTGATTCGCCATATGGCGTGTAGTTATTTTAAGGTCTACTTATTATGAATTAAAGAATATAATCAAAACCCACAATAATGAACCCAGAATAGAGTGAACACTCGGTTGTGATGAACATTTTAAATGGTCTGTCCGAACTCTTATGCAACTAATATTAGTTCATATACTTATAGTGTATAGCTGAGAAATTAGCAGTTTGTTTAAAGTGGAGCAAAATTTCCTTCCCGTAGGTATTGAAAAAAATTTTTGAAAATTTCCTTCCTTTGAGATAATTTTAAAAGTGTCTCTCTTTTTACCAAAAATGAAGTATGTATTATAATTGAGTGCTTCAAATGAGTAATTTCACTGGAAGGAATAATGTGAGAGATTCCTAAAATAGGTACACGGGGGAAAGAATCGGTAAACTTTTAAATGTAACTTTTTTCAAAAATGACACATTCAAAAAAAGAAATGAACTACTCAACAATTCAAAAAATGATATAAATTGAAAAGATCAATGTCTAGAAAATTTGTTATGCGTAGACAACCACTTGGTTATTTGGAGAATATTTAGATTTTTATTTAATGCTCCGATTAAAATTTTCATGGTGGAAAGGAATTTACTGTAAGGAAACTAGTGGAGAGACTATTGATATTAAGTTAATAACTTATAAAGCAAATCGTATGCTGTAACAATAATTTCCAACTGTAATATGAAAAAAAAAATTATTCATAGATTTTGGATATAGTGAAGCACAGTCTTTTAATTCATTGGTGGGTCGCAGACTATTTTCTGTGGCAAGGTCCAACTGCATTAGCTATTCTTGCTTTATCATTTGTTAAAATTTTGATAGGGAAAGTATTGTGTTTAAAATTATTATTAAATTTTAAGGCTTCACACTCAAAGGTAATCATCTTTAAGAAAACCAGTATAAAATCAAAAATCTGTTAAAATGTCGACTTTTAAAAAAATTATTTATTTTTCGAAGGGTAAAAAAATTTTGGTCATTTAGTGTTTTAAGGTTGTTTCTCGAAGTCTATCTCAACACGAAATAAAGCTTTCAAGTGAAAAATATTTTCATAACTGCTGCGAGTTTGTATCAGTAACTTGTGACTCTTAGGCTAAGTTTACCCTATATTTAGCAAGCACTCTCTGTTATTTCTGAAAATGGCATAAACGTCAATATGAAAAAAAAGCCACAGTTTCGTAAAAATAAAAAGCGATTGTAATTTAATTTTATATTAAAAAAGCTACTCTAATGCTACTTTATCTTAAATATATATTGATTTTGATAAATTTTATCTAGGTGGAAAAATATCAACAAATTGGTGAAGTTATTTGACTGTTCTACATTTAAAACTCATAGTTTAGCCTTAAATGTAAGGCATTTTAGATATGGACTTTTTATTTTCCTTGGAAAAGAGCTTCTAAAAACACTTAATAGTTGATAGAGAATTCATTTTGAATTTTTAGAGATATTTGCTTTAAAATTAAAAAAAGTAGAAAGCAGAGTTAATCAAGAAGGAACCTTACACACTTTTTGCTAGAGTTTGAGAATGTACTTAACTTTCGCATCAAGTGATGACAACAATAAAGTTTGATACTGCTATGGGGAAGAATATTCAAATTCATCAATGAAAATAAAAGCTAAAAAATCTTTTTTTTTTAAATATATAAATACCTAACAATATACTTGGTTTTCCTAAAATGAATAATGGACTTCTATTCAAAATATATTAATTTAACTATTATATATGTCGTAAAAGTTATTTGTTTAAAGAAATGGTACACACTTTTTCTTTCTTTTCGAATAATAAAAACTTGTCTATCAGTTTCTATCTAACTTGTAGGTTAATTTCATTTCAACCACTTTAACCCAATGTTAACTTGTTTATATTTTTAATTTTTATATCGATGTTATATCTTTTATGAGTTTTTAAATTTAAACGATATCAATCTTATATTTTTTAAAACTTAGAATGAATAAAGTTTGATCTAAAGACAAAAATTATAAATAATAACAAATTTTAGTTTCAATAAATAACCAAAAGTATTAGAATTATTAATATTTTTTAAAATTTATCTGCTCATGCATTAATACGATTAAAAAAATATCAAATATCTCATTTCCTTTAATCTAAGTTATTGAAAAAAAAGAAGGTATGTTTGTTTAAATATAAATTATTTATATATACTACCTATATAACTAATAGTTTGATGAAGTATATTATGCTTGTAACTACTGTATTAAAAAAATATTTAAGAGGATTTGTGTTTTTACTTCTTATTCATTAAAGTGATATTGATTACCCATTGATTTGNTTATTTATATATACTACCTATATAACTAATAGTTTGATGAAGTACATTATGCTTGTAACTACTGTATTAAAAAAAATATTTAAATATAAATAATGACACCAATTAAAAAAACGAAATAAATTTATTTATTAAACAATATAATTTACAAACTTACAACATCTTAAAATCACATTAACAGGAGGACTAGGGAATCATATCCGATGTTTAATGATTTATTTACAAATGAATTATTTAATACTTTAAACAGTTCTTACCACAATATTATTAGTCTACTTCTTCAACTGTCGGACCATTTGTAGCTGAATAACTGGATTGTTGATCAGGATTGAAAGCATTTCCACCCTGATGCAATTTGGTCATTAATGGAGACAGGTCAGATTGAACTTCTTTCAACTTGTGCTCTATCTCATCTTTTTCAGCTAATGTGTTATTGTCCAACCACTGAATAACAGAGTCACATTTTTCTTTAATCTTTGCCTTGTCAGCAGGCGACAACTTGTCATCAGAGACAGAGTCTGATGCTTGCTTGACAGAATATACATAACTCTCCAAGGCATTTCTGGAAGCCACTTTCTCTCGTTGATCTGCATCTTCTTTCTCAAATTGTTTCGCTTCATTCAACATCCTTTCGATTTCTTCCTTTGATAGCCTACCTTTATCATTAGTGATTCGGATGCTTTGCGATTTCCCGGTACTTTTCTCCTGTGCTGATACATTTAGGATTCCATTAGCATCCATGTCAAAGGTTACTTCTATCTGTGGTACTCCTCTTGGTGCCGGTGGAATTCCAGATAGTTGAAATCGACCAAGAAGGTGATTGTCTTTGGTCATGGCTCTTTCACCTTCGTACACTTGAATATCAACACCAGGCTGGTTATCCGAGTAGGTAGTAAATACTTGTGAAGTCTTGCAAGGAATGCGAGAGTTTCTCTCAATTATTTTTGTCATGACTCCACCGGCCGTTTCAATTCCCAAAGACAATGGTGCAACATCAACTAAGAGAACATCTTTGATCTTGTCATCTGTATTGCCAGTCAGTACCGCAGCTTGAACAGCTGCACCATAGGCAACAGCTTCATCAGGATTTATAGACAAGCACAGTTCTTTACCATTAAAAAAATCTTTCAGCATCTTCTGAATCTTTGGAATGCGAATTGATCCACCAACTAACACAACATCATGAATGCTGCTTTTGTCTAATTTGGCATCTTTTAGGGCTCTTTCTACAGGCTCCAATGTAGTCCTGAACAAATCCATGCATAGTTCCTCAAATCTCGCTCTAGATATCTTTGAATAGAAATCTATTCCTTCAAATAGGGCATCTATTTCAATACTTGCCTCAGAACTGCTTGATAAAGTTCTTTTTGCTCGCTCACATGCAGTTCTTAGTCGCCTCAAGGCTCTGGGACTGGATTGCAGGTCTTTACGATGTTTACGTTTAAATTCCTCGACAAAGTGAGCGACCATTCTATTGTCGAAATCTTCTCCTCCGAGGTGTGTGTCTCCAGCTGTTGATCGTACTTCAAACAAAGATCCTTCATCAATAGTCAGAACAGATACATCAAAGGTTCCTCCTCCCAAATCAAATATAAGTACATTTTTCTCACCTCTAAGATTTTTATCCAGACCATAAGCCAGGGCAGCAGCAGTTGGTTCGTTAATAATTCGTAATACATTCAGTCCAGCAATTTTTCCAGCATCTTTTGTAGCTTGTCTCTGTGAATCATTAAAATAAGCAGGTACTGTAATTACAGCATCAGTAATTTTTTGGCCTAGATACATCTCCGCAGTTTCTTTCATCTTAGTCAATACCATAGCACTGATTTCTTCAGGATTAAATAGTTTTCTTTCACCTTTTACTTCAGCACAAATTTTTGGCTTACCATGTTCATTCACAACTTTGAAAGGCCAATGTTTCAAATCTTGTTGTATTTTAGGATCATCATATTTCCTTCCAATAAGTCTCTTAGCATCAAATATGGTATTTTCTGGATTTAAGGCAACTTGGGACTTAGCAGCATCTCCAATCAGCCTCTCTGTGTCAGTGAAGGCAACATAACTA